AGTTACACGAGTCCAATTCCACTTTTTCTCCTAAAATACTTCTTCTTATAATTGCCCGTTCCCATTTAAGTTGAATTCAATCGCTAACATAGATGTAAGTAACTCCTACATTTCGGCACTTTTTCTGCTATATAAAAACCTGTCACGGAGGGAGTTTTTATACCAAGGATTTGTTTAGAACCGAGTGAAATTAACTTACCGTTTGTTATGAAGAGAACGATAATCGAGTATTTACAATAAATGTGGTTTTAATAGAACTATTGCAATAATACAATTGATGTGATGATAAAATAACTGAGACGAGGATCGATGCTGGGAAGAGATAATTGTTTCTTCGTTTTTGAATTTCGCGCAAAGCTACACGAGGGCTATCTGCGCTAGTCGTCCCTAATTTAGCAATGTAAGACAAGAAGCTTAAGTCATCGCCATCCACCGCCAACTCTTGAGCTATTCTTTTGCCAACGAATAGTGGGATTGACCGTCACATTATGACGTCTCCACAACTGAAAGGTCGAGCATGTTTGTAGGACAGTGATTCGAACCCGCGACCCGCAGGTTACGAGTCGCGCTTTCTAACCACCTGGCCATGTCGATCCGGGAAGAGATACTCTTCAGGTAAAGAATATATAGTTCACGATAGGCTTTGTTTTCCCGAAGCTAAAAGGCCCGCTATGTTTCTTATGTCTGTTTGTTTGCTTGAAATTAAGCACAAAGCTACACAATGGGCTATCTGTGCTCTGCCCACCAGGAGTATAGAAACCCGGTTTCTAGCGTTGTAAGTCCGCAGACATGCCGCTATGCCACTGGGGGGGGGGGGCGTTCTTATCTCTGTTTACCGACGGAAAAGTAGCAAATATATAGAGGAGAATTCAAATTTGGTAGGCTTTGATTTCCCGTCATTTTTGAAGGACTTTATAATAAGTAAGGTGATAAAGGATTGATCCTTATAACACACCCCTTCCTCAGTGACACAGTGGTGTGTCTGCGGACTTGCAACGCTAGAAACCGGGTTTCGATACTCGTGGTGGGCAGAGCACAGTTAGCCCTTTGTGTAGCTTTGTGCTTAGCTACAAACAAACCGATCCGAGCTGTTAGATGATTAAATTAGGCTTAATGAAGATACCAACCTGTTAATTGAATAAAAGGTTAATGAAGAAACCAACCTGTTAATTGATTAAAAGGTCAATGAAGATACCAACCTGTTAATTGGTTAAAAGGTCAATGAAGGTACTAATACTTTTTTAATCCTTTTTAATTGCTCCACGTTCGTAAAATTGTCGTTTATAGAAAATTCGAAACGATACACCGATTCAACTTTATGAAGAAGACAGATGATAACGATTTAATACATTCATCTTACTTTAAGGAACCATCCTCACAGATGACCAGAATCAGTTTTAGACCTATTGGTTTTAAGTCTATCAATAACGAGACAGGTTGTGTTTTCGCTCACTTGTTTTATGTATGAAATATTAAACCTTCTTCTATAAGTCGAGTCTGGATAAATTAACCTGCAACTGATAATACCCTCTTTATACATTCCCTTACTATTTCTGTAATATGCCTTATTTCTTTTTAGTTCCTCTTCTGAATCCACCGCCAACTCTTGGGCTACTCTTTTACCAACGAATAGTGGGATTGAACGTCACATTATAACGCCCACACGGCTGAAAGGGCGAGCATGTTTGGTGAGATGAGGACTCTACTAGTATATCATAGAAGTGTGTGTGTTTTTTTTTGTTTCTTTTTTTCTTATAGCAAAGTCACATCGGGCTATCTGGACACAGCAGATAATTATCAAACCCTTGATTTTAGCGTTGTAAATCCGTTAACTTACCGTTGTTCCAGCGGGGAACATCATAGAAGACAAACTGTATAGTTTACAGAAATGTTAGATGCCAGGACCATCACTCTTATCTTTAGAACTTGTGTTTGAGTTAAGTCTGACATTAAGTTTTTTTTTTTGTCGTTCACATAATTTAGACATACACGAACTGTAGTGATTACAATAAAAAAAAATACGTGTACTCCTTGTAAAGTATTATTTATTCGTGAATATATTTTTGTAATAAATCACACGTCATTTATCGATTTTTATTTTTTTTGACATTTGTATTTGGGATAACCAAAATGTCTTTGTGAGTTTTATTTTTTTCATATTCTTTACAGAAGTCTAGAAATATGCAAAGCTACATTGTCCCCATTGGAGAATATACGTTACAAAAATGGGATATTGTTTTATCTTGTATTTCAAAAATCCATCAGCTTCCTGTCAGAATTCATAACCACCTAGCAACATACTGCTGAGTGGAAATGCTTAACCGTAACGTTTTCCATGGCCATAACCACCACCGCCTCCGCCGAATTTTCCACCTCCATATCTTCCGCCACCGCCAAAACCGCCCTTTCCGTATCTTCCACGTCCTCCTCCTCCTCCTCCAAAACTTCCATATCCTCCACTTATAAATCCTCCATATCCTCCAAAAGAGCCTCCACCTCCTCGATAGCCCCCACCACCTCGGTAACCTCCACCTCCTCGATAGCCCCCACCACCTCGGTAACCTCCACCTCCTCGATAGCCTCCACCTCCTCGATAGCCCCCACCACCTCGGTAACCTCCACCTCCTCGATAGCCTCCACCGTGCCCAGTCTCTGCCGCATGTAGGGTATCTTCGTCACCAAGACACAAGGTGGTGAAAACAATCAAACAAATGGTAGCAAATACCTGTGGGAAAAAAACGTCCAAACAGTTTTTATAACTTTAGAAAGAAAGTTCAAAATTGACGTAAGTAAACAGTCAAGCATACTAAAATTTTATACATATAAATTCACCTCAGACTTAGGAAGCTAACTGTAGAATCAAGTAAGTTCACATCAGCTTGGTCTTATCCCTATGTTATCTGAAAAGTAGCTTCTGTAAGTAGATCTATCCCAGTCAATGATGGTTTGAAAAACTTGGTCTTATCCCTATGTTATCTGAAAAGTAGCTTCTGTACGTAGATCTATTCCAGTTGATAATGGTTTGAAAAGCTTGGTCTCAGACCTGTGTTATCTGAAGAGTGTCTTCTGTACGTAGATCTATCCCAGTCAATGATGGTTTGAAAAGCTTGGTCTCAACCCTGTGTTATCTGAAGAGTAGTTTTTTTTCCGCATATGTTTGAACTCAAGTCAGTGTTAAATGAAAATAGTTTTCTCATCTGTGTCTTACAAAACACCCATAGTTTTTGTCATCTTTGTCTTACAAAACACCCATTCTTACAAAAGGGGTAGAATAGTCGTGCCTCGACGCAAATAACTAATTCTAAAGAAAATAAAACTCTACTCACCCAGACTTTCATCTTGTATACTATAACCGTATCGGTAATACGAGAGCTGAATCAGTTGCGACCTGCTGGGTTGTTAAGTCTTTATATAGGCCAAGAAACGGACATTTCTCGAGGAAGGTCACCCAGTGTTTCTCTCACCCAACCACACAGAAGGTCCTGTTTTAACACGCTATATTTTAACACAGGCATATATAAACACGTAAATATTTATCATCGTCAGGATGAAAGGGATAATAAGTTGTCCAATATACAAAAGTAATAATTTTCTATTTAGGTCAGTCATTATAACACTGAATTACCTGATTAAGATATATCTGATTATGAGAGAATTCGTTAACGTACTTCGTTTATGCATCACGAAGTAAAAACTGTGCTCTTTGTAAAACAGGATAAATTACTGCGTGTGTGTGTATATGAAGGATAATGTTATTAAGAGACGCCTTAGTATGGTATTTTAATTGTGTGTCCTAAAAAACAGAAAAACGAATCATTGTAATAAATATATATATACAAGGTCGTACTGATGTGTTTTACACCATAGGAGCCAATTTGTCGATCTTAGTACTAGCCAATCAAAAGATCAGATTCCTGATGGGTTTTTTTTTCACTGCACTAACCAACCAAAAAATCAGAACCCTGTTATTGTTTTTCTAATCATACTAGGCAATCAAAGGTCAAACCTCTGCTGTTGTTTTTAGTACTAGCCAATTAAAAGATAGAACCAATATTGCCTTTATTTCTATAAATTCCAATCAATCAAAGGTCGAATCTCTGCTGTTGTTTTTAGTACTAGCCAATTAAAAGATAGAACCAATATTGCCTTTATTTCTATAAATTCCAATCAATCAAAGGTCGAATCTCTGCTGTTGTTTTTGGTACTAGCCAACCAAAAGATATGGAGCCCGTTTCATAAAAGCATCTTAGAAAGAAGTTGTTCTTAGATCACCTTCTTAAGAATGTTTCACAAAAGGTGTCATATCTTAAGAACCTTCTTAAGTTATTTCGGAACTTGACGAATAGTAAGTAGGTGTCTTAAGATAGAAACAAACATGGCCGCCGCCTAAAGTTTCACAGAATAATTATGTTTATTTTGACATAAAATACATGGATATTTTAAAATAGTTTTTCAGAAAATATTTTTAAAAAAGAAAAAAGGAGAGGAAAAAAACTGACGCTGTTAGACAGCGTTTTAGTTAATTGAAAAAAAATCAGGTTGAAATAAACGAAAAGAATGATACTTTACCTTTAAGAAATCTAAAAAAAAAGTATGATTTGGTTAATAAAACATTAGGATATTATTTATAAATTCTATTTAACATGACCAACCATCCAATTTAATCTAAAAGATTGATATATTCTCGATATATTGTGTTTTTAGGATTATTCTTAAGTCATCCTTATCCAAGACAGTCCAAGAAAACTTTATGAAATAACGTAGGAAATATCTTACGAAATTCTTAAGTTTCATCTTAAGTATTGAGTTAGAAATAAATTTAAGAAGTATCTTAAGAAGTTTCGTGAAACTGGACCTAGGGCCTCCTAGGCCAATATTTTTTGTGCTTTTGTTTTGTCCAATTATCTGATCATGAGAACAGACGGCTGATTAACCAAAAAGTTCAATGTCTGCTTGTTTTTTTACCGCACTAGCCAATCAAAAAGTTAAGCCCCTGTTGTTTTCTTCCAATATCAACAAATCAAGTGAGTCAACCCTACGTTGTGATTTATAAATGACTTAAATAAAGATAATAAGTGCAATTCACTTCCTTAATGTACTTCACACCATAACAGTTGTTGTTCATGAAAACTGATGATATATATATATATATGTGCGTGTGTGTAACGCTTCGACCACAGCTATGTCTATTATATCTAAGCCGAACTGATGACCTCTGGTACTGGGCGAAATGCTTCGTCGGTACTGGCTGTAGCTACCATTTTATTCTTTGCCTTCATTCATACTTTTTGCCTGGTGGTTAGGAACGACCCGCAATAAGTGGGTCGCGGGTTTGAGTGTAATCACTGAATATGTTCGCCTATTTTAGCATGAGGGCGTTATAATGTGACGGTTAATTCTACTTTTCTTTGGTTAAAAGGTAGCCTAAAAGTTGGCGGTTGGTGGTGTTGGCTAGCTGCCTTCCTTCTAATCCAATGTTTCTCAATCACCGGTTCACGAACCGGCGGTCTGTCACAACCATCTTGCCGGTACACGGATTTTCACGAAAAGGAACAAACAAAAAACTGACAAAATATTCATATGTAAATTGTAATGGTTCTTCGTCGTAAGTTGCACTTTAGCGGTTCACTACAGCTTAGTGAGGCAGCGAGCCAGTCCCTAGTATCAAAAATATTGAGAAACGTTGCCTCTTGTCTATCATGTCTACATTAGAGACGGCTAGCGCAGATAATGCTCGAGTAGCTTTGCGCGAAATACAACAAACAAACATTCAACAATTTCTTATAATTACTATTGTAGTTTTCTTATGTTTGCACTGTGGTGGATTTATACATTCGACATACCAAATATCATATTTTCCCCAGCAATATTGCTCTTCTTATGTTTCCCCAGCTTTCAAACAACGGCTCTTTAGTTCTGTTTACATGAGAACAAGCTTCTTCAGAGAACAACCATGTGTATCTTGTCGCAATCCTCTCGCTCAGTTTTCCCATGAACCACTTAGTATTAGATAAACAATTTTCAAGTGCAGGCTTAAATAGAACAAAAACACAAATTTCCATTGGAGTTGGATCAGGAGATTTAGCTGGGTTAAAAGTTTTATCTTTCTCGTGAAAACACCTGCCTGACATCGAGAAGTGCCAAGCTTCATCATAAAAATGGCTTTTGGGACCGAAAGGTTCTCTTTCGTAACAATGACCTTCAATTTGCAGATGAGGACGTTGGTAATGACTAACTTCGGATTTGGATTCGGACGGACGGACCAGTTGCTATCCTAAACACTAACCGTGATTTCTACATCCATGGACAACACTAAAGACTATCTTGTTCAAAATGTCGTGTCCTGAGGTTCTATATCATTTAACATATGTCATTTTATAGATGATTCTATTCTGAAACAGTGTCATACTCCACTCCAGTCAAGTTTTAGGGGTTATTTTACAAGTTGGTCAGTGCAGTTTGCTTTTATGTATTGGACAAATCCAAATTTATCACGTAACTTTAACCTAGAAACCGTACAGCGTTCGCAGGGAAGCGGTAATATATAAATATATACTTAAAATATAAATGAGCTTCTATACAGTCTCAAGCTACACAATGGGCTATCTATTTCTGTGTTCATAACTGATATCGAAACCCCATTTTTAGCGTTATAAGACTTCAGATTTACCGCTGAGCCACTGATAGACAGTTGTTGATTTTTAGCACTCGCAAACCTATTCAGTGGGCTATTTGCGTTTTGTCCATCGCGAGAAATCGAACCCTGAATTTTAGGGTTGTAAATCTGACACACCAGGGGACTAAAAAAAAGTAATAATTTAATATCACAGAATGCTATGAATAGCATTAACGTGCTCATTTTATAGTTTGTCCTTAAAAACTAAGAACTAAACTTTAATTTGTTAGAAATGTCAAGGAAATAGTTCACTAAGAATCAGTTTTAGATTATATGTTAAGTAATTTTATAAAATAAATGTAGCTCAATCTATACTTCTATTACAATCTCCCACAAAATATTTAGACATAAAAAATATCAATAAATCTATTATTTTCTGTTAACAACATTAGTTCTAGACTGAAGAAATAAGGAAAAATAATATGCTAATACTTGCTTGAAATTAATTTATTCCCCCTGATAAAAAAACAAAAACACTCCCTATAAAATAATGTTTCTTTAAATATTATTTCAGTTTTGGACATTACGCTACGTAACGTAACAAGTGCTTGTCATAAGTGCTCTTTAAGTTGTATTTAGTAGCTTTGTAGCTTAATTACATTTTAAAATTAGATTTTTATTCCGTATAAAACAACATATATATACATTATTTAAATATGTATTTTTAACCCCATCATAGCGGCTCATAGAATGGCTCCAAGTTTTTCAAGTACAAACTTTTAGCTCATAGCTTCGTCATCTTTCGACCGATTTGAGATCTAATTACAGTTTTGGACTCAGAAGGTCAAACCCTTTCGATTGATTCATTTGACCACGCCCAAGGTCTCATATATTAATTTACTCTAATCCTGCCTAAAGGAATTTCAATTTGAGGGGAGGCTGGTAGAGATCCTGATGAGTAATAAAATCGAATCTGGTATACGCGCGCCACATGCTTGGTATTGCTGGCGCACAAAAATATAGCCAACAAAAAAAGGTCTCAAAGATTAATTTACTCTAATCCTGCCTACAAGAATTCCAAGTGTCGCGGCTATTGAGGATTCCCTCTT